ATATATATATATATATATATATATCTTTTTGGCCTGTGCTTTAGACAATCAATTTAGGTAGGCTGCTTCAAAAGGAATTGCTCTTTAATGTAAGAGAAACAACTAGGAAGGTGGTGGAAGTTGGTGAGAAACCTTGTGTGGTTTGACTTGAGTTTTGGCTGATGCAAGAATGTATAGAATTCATGAGACTATATTTGGGCATACTTTTGAGACCTGTATGTGTGAACTTTACTTTCAGAGTTACTCAGAAGCAAGTGTTCAAGGATTTTAGGACAACTTCAAATATGAGTGGGTGTTCTTTGACTCCACAAAGTTTGGATTTATTAGGATTGTAATTTTCTACTATGAATTGGTGTGAGCATGATTGGGTTAAAATTAGTATTTTTTTAAATATCATCTCAAGGACATACTAAACAGTCGGTCCCAATGATTGAGATTTGAGAGCAGCAACAAGATTTTTCATGTGAACATTAAATCCTGGGACAAAATGTAATACTATTTGACTGAGGAGGAATCCAAGGGACACTCTCTAGTAAAGGATCAGGATTTGAGCAAATGATGGGCTACCTCATTTTTTACAGATTGTACATGACTAAATGCAATGAATTTAAAGTAAAACCTATTTATATAAATCAACTCTAAGTGAAAGGAATCAAAAGTCTAATGTTGTTTAATAGGCTGAGGATGGAAATAATTCTTCCTTAGTATTCTGTAATATCTGAATCAGAGTCGAGACATATAAATGGAAATCTTTATTGGGAGGTGAAGAATATAGAGAATCCTCTCACTGTACACAGGGAGTTCAAGAGTCCAGACCCTCCCCTTTCATCAACTTACTTATCCATAGTGTGTCCTCTCCCCTCTGCTCTTCTCTTTATATTATTCAGTTCCATTACCCTGTAACTAGATCAGTTACAGTCAGGTAGTTATGCCTAACTGCCTTCCCTGGCATGCCTAACATTGACTTTCTTAATAGTGAGATTGCTCACATACTCCATTGTTACAGTTAAGTTGCTGCATATGCTGTCATAGGGGCAACATGCATTGGAAAATATCCTCACATATGGTGTCTTCTGAAGCTTTTTGAAAAAATTATGGTTTGTGTTAATTGATATTACAGTGTCATGTACATCAAATTAGCTCTTTAGGGCTTACTTGGTTTAACGAAATGTTTCCTGTTTCTATATATTGTTTTTAATAATCATTAACAATTATAAAATGTCACCTGTTTTCACCTTATACAAAAAAATGTTGTCTTTCTATTTCTTGTACAAAATTTCAAACACAGTAAACAAACTGAAACCAAGGATGTATTTTGTAACTATTAGTAAAAAGAAAAGATAGAAATAGAAAAAGAAAACATTTCCTTAAACCAAACAGGCCCATAAGTTGTCAGTCCTTTCTGGGCCTAATTGGTGCTACTTTCCATCTCTAAACCCTCATAAAGTTGGATGTACATGAGTCAACTATAGGTATATGATGAATAAAATCATTAGAATTTTCTGAGCTTGTGTTTGGTTGCACCAGTCAAGGTCTTTATGATTCCCTCTGTAACATTTTTCAAAGATATCTTAGTTGTAGATTTGTCATATTTTCTAATCCTTGCAGGTGTAGGGAAGACTTCTTTAGTTAACTTGATTCTAAAAGGTTCTCCCATTGCTCGCCCTCCTCAAACGATTGGTTGTTCAGTTAATGTGAAGGTAAAACTCCCCATATGGCTACAAAAGAAATACATTGTTTCTGTACCCAAAATCTTCACCAAATATCCTGTTTCTTTTTCAGCATACTACTTATGGAAATTCGGGCAGCTCTTCAAGTAGCCTTAAAGGTGATTCTGAGAGAGATTTCTTTGTTGAACTGTGGGATGTCTCAGGACATGAACGGTACAAAGATTGTCGGTCTCTGTTCTATTCGCAGATTAATGGTGAGTGAAAAAGCTCCTATTGTTTTAGCTTTTTAAAATGTGTAGTTGTGTACTTGCTTACGTTGTACAGAGTTGTTGTGTATATTCAATCTAATTATGTGGTAGTCTACAAGTTGAAGGGTCAAGATCTGTGACCAAGGGGAAAAGAAAAGAAGGATAAGGATATCCGATATTTAAACAGTCACTATATATCCTTGGTTTCTCTTTTTCAAGACTTGCATGTTGAAGATAAATAAATTTTGATATGCAACTTTTAGCTTTAATGTTTTAAATCTACAAAAAGAAATGATACAGATTTGGCTGTCTTAAGTCTGAACTTCATTTATTTGCAAAATACCCTAATTACCACTGTCTTGGATAATTGCATAAGTCTCTTAATGGCATTTGGGTACTCTGGAACTTTTTTGACAATTAAAATTAGTAACAGTCAGTGCACATTTGACGTTGGCTGTCTGATTTTTTAAACTTTGTAACCTTGTTTGGACTTCATTTGCAGGTATAATTTTTGTTCATGATCTTTCACAGAGAAGAACAAAGACTAGCTTGCAGAAGTGGGCAGCTGGGATTGCTGAGACTGGGACCTTTTCAGCTCCTTTAGGATCTGCTGGTCCTGGTGGCCTTCCTGTACCATATATTGTTATTGGTAACAAAGCTGATATTGCTGCAAAAGAGGGTACAAGAGGAAGCAGTGGGAATCTTGTTGACGTTGCACGCCAATGGGTCGAGAAGCAGGGTTTGCTTCCTTCCAGTGAGGAACTTCCACTGACCGAGAGTTTTCCTGGTAGTGGGGGCCTTATTGCTGTAAGTGTCTGAACTAAAATTTTGTGTCAGTTTTACAAGTTTGTTTTGCACCACTTTCAATGCTTACGATAGTATGCTCCCCTTGTGTTAATTATTATGTATTACTCAGGTACATTGGAATAAATCTAATGTTAACGCAAATTACTAGAGTTTCAACTAAGGTTGTCAAACTTGAGGGTTTATGTAAACACATGGAGGCTCCGTAAACTCTTACAAGTTTACTTAATATAAAAAAAATATTAAAATACCTACAGTAACATAACAAGTTAGTATTGTATACCCTTATTTTTGCTGCCAGGCACATTGTGAATATTATGGATGACATGCATTGAAACTTCACATTTCACTTTGGTGCCATTGATGTTGTATAAAAGCAGATTTTCAGCTTCCATTCATTTTCAAAATTGAGAGGCTAACTGTTAAGCTTTTCATCTTTATAACTGTAATATCTTGAAGCTTATTCATGCAAATGCTTTTGAGCCGCTCATTATGAATAATGGATTTAGATTACCCACTACTGTGCTGCGCTTTAGAAAATATTGAACTGGAGACGCATTGAAGTAACAAATCATGTCTGATAACATTTGATGCCGAGACCTGCCCAGTTTCTGCATTCTGTTGAATAGTTTCTATCCAGTTCATTCTTCTTGTAAAGTTGTAATAGTTGTGATTTTTATGTTGGATGTGTACAGGCTGCCAAAGAAGCTAGGTATGACAAGGAGGCTGTGCTGAAATTTTTCCGCATGGTCAGTATGGTCTTTGATCTGTCTTTTTTATTTAATGTATGATATGTCATCTAATTTTTTGGTACATCTCCTTTCAGTTGATCAGGAGAAGATATTTCTCTGATGAAACACCTTCACCAGCATGGTCCATTCCTTCTTCTGTTCAGAGACCAGCTCAGCGTATAGATGAAAATTTCATAGAAGACGATCACTCTTATAGTACAAGGTATTTTACTATTTTCTGCTAGCCTTCTAAAATCATTTTGGTGCTGGCATGCTGCTTTGCTTTTATATCATCACCATGAGTTACTACTACCAGCAATTTCATTGGCTGAACCTTGTTCATATTTTCCGCTTTGCAAACATGCATGCATAGATGCAATTTTGGGTTTGTCTCCTTAGATTCATTGCATTAATCGGTAGTTGTAAGATTATAAGCAAATCCTTGGTAGCTTGGTGATGAAATTATAGTACACGCTCATTCATCATCAGTTCACCGTGAGTGTTAGTGTGTATACGTGTGCGTGCAAGTGTGTTTCCCTTTTAAGTTTGTTTTGCGCCACTCCTTACAGAATTTATTGTTGATTGCAGTCGAAGCAGTGATCCCTACAAGTATAACATGCTTCCTCCGCTTCCGGCACAACGCAATTTAACACCACCACCCACACTGTATCCTCAACAGCCAGTTTCAGTGGCGGAAAACTATAGTTTCCCTAGATTTTCCTTGTCAGGCTCCTCAGAAATCAGTTCTGTGGCGAGAACAAAGCGTTCAGATATTAATGTTTGAAGATCTGTGTATTACACTGATGTATTCTTGCATGGAACGAAGTTATATGCTTGTTTAAATTCTTTGTTCCTATTGTAACTTGTCCATTGATTCATTCGTTTTAAGAGGCTTTCTTAGTAGAATGAGGAGCTACTTGTTCAAAGTTTGGGAGAATTTAAATGATACATGCTCGATTCTTTTATATCATATTTTTCTTTTCCTGTTATTGAAACTATCAACAGCATTACGGGTAGCATAACACTCCAAATAAGATGGAATTCACATTCATAAAACTCCGTCGATTTTATTCCGTAAATTGTGTTATTCTCCTAAAATCGAGTTTGAATATTATACAAATAGGCCTTCTGGACTTAGGAGTGTAAGAGTAGGGTCAAGCCGAACACTTTTTGAGGTCTGCACTAAAAAAAGCTTTAGATAACATTCATTTAATAAAAAATTATTAATTTTTTAAAATAATTATTTTACAAGTCATATATAGTAGAGTCATTTTTAATTAATTGACTATAGTTTCCTTTTTACATTGATAATATATTAAAATTAAATTCTTGTTATAATATAAAATTTTAATATATTTCAATTGTTAGATTTAGATCTAACATTTTCCCCTTTTAAGCAGTGATTTACACTTGAGAGGATCCTAATTAGAAAAAGTCTAATGGTGTATGGTTGCAGAAATTGTTAAATACACTTTCTATTTTCCAACCATATGGTACCGAATAGAACTCCAAATCGCAATGCAAAAACATAAATAGCTTTATCCGTAAGCAAAACTAAAACCAATACGAATTTCATTTTCTGTCCGTGAGTGTTGTCAAATATCTGGTGCTGTTTTATTAATAAGATACAGAATTTAATTTTGACACACTGTTAACGTTATTAAAAGAACAGTTAGTTAATCAGAAATTACTCTCAATATAATTTTTAAAGTAATTATTAAAAAATAAAAATCTTTTATCATCTATACTTATATACATAAAAGCAATTCCTTTTATTTTGATATACACAATTTTTGGATTATTTTACTCTAAAATTTTTAAATAATAAATTAACTATTCTTTACAAATTCAAAATTTTAAAGTTTGAAGAATCGTTGATTTAATAAATATTATTAACTTTTAAACACTTTTAAATAAATATAAAAGGACGACAATACTAATTAGATGACAATATATTTTTTATGTTATTAATACATTCTAATTAAATTCTAAAATAATGCGAAAAGTTTCTGACCATAGAACCACCGTAAATAAAATTGTTCACACTTTTTGTTTTTGGGTACGTAGAAAACTTTTATTTCATGCATGATGCATCATTTATCGTTAGCTCCTATTTATTTATCTTTATTTTTGGCTTTGAAGAAATAGTTAGAATATTTGAGTTTTGAAATATTCAAGTATGGTACACTACATGCAAGACGGAAGCCCCACGTAGTGGAATGTGGTAAACGTAGAGAGATCTGCAATCAACTAACTACAAAATCAGCCAAATACCTTAGCATCCCTCTTTTCTAACCTAAACCTTCAGCAATTTGTCACTCATTAACATGGTTAAATTCACCAAAACCCCCCTATTATTTCTTCTTTTCTGCTCCCTCTTCATTCTTCAATTCCAACGTGCAACACTTGATGATGAAGCTGCCCAAAATGTTGCTCAAAACTACCCAGAAAAACCCCTTCTTTCCAAGTTTCTCATGGATACCATTTCTCTACTCAGAAAGTCCCACAAAAGTTCTTGGGAGAAATTCAAAATTGTCATGCATGATATGCAAATGCAGTTTTCTCCACCAAATTTGGAGTAAGTTAATTAATTATGAGGTTCCAACTCTTACATATGCAAACCCTAACCCATTTCTTTTTTATTTATTTCTATAAACAGTAGTTTTATTTATGTAAAGAATGTATCATAGTTTGTGAGTAATCTACAAGTATCTTTGTAAAAACTCTTTGAATTTTCCGGTGAGTTCACAAAATCTAATTCACATAAACTTTTGTATATATAGAAAAAAAATTTAAGAATGAACAATTTTTTTCTGGAGAGATGTAAAAAATTATAATATTTTTGCTATTTTTCCTATATATTTTGGTATAAATAGCAATGCAGGTAATGAAGGATATGTATGTTTTGTCAGTTTCAGGGGTGGGGGATATGATGGTGCGAAAAGAACGTTGAAAGAAGCAGTTGGAAAGAGTTTTGACAAAAGCAAAGAGAAAGTCGAGGAAAGTGCTGAAACTGCAGCAAAAGTAGTTGAAGGAGCATTTCATAAGGTGAAGGAGAACACTGACTCTGACCATGATGAACTTTAGTCCAAATTGTATGCATAGCTGTTGGTTTAGGAGTGTGTGAAACAATTTACTTATGGCAACTTATCTTTTTCTCTATGTTTTCTTTCACTGTTACACAATTTCAGCCTAATATACTTGGAAGATTGAAAATGGAAAAAAATATATATGCCACAAGCATTTCAAATACTGAAAAATGGATAACAAGAATTTATCTCCAACAGAGGTTTAACTGGTTTAAGACAATGGTATCAAGTTATGGATGGTAATTTCATCAAGCAAAAGGTCCTTCCTCTATCTGCATTATATTTTACTAGCAAATGTTAAATTGGATTTCTTTTTAACAGTTAACTTGACATATGAGATTATAAAGACAATTGCTATCGTGGGTGGTTTGGGAAGCAGTAAAAAGGTTAACATGTCTAACAAAATGTGTAGATTTAATAACTTAATGCATTGTCTCAAGTTTAAGTTTTGATATGAAATAAAACTTATATGAGATTCTATTATCTCCTATGAAATATACTGGTGTATAAGTAACATTAAGTTTCAAGTGTCATCATTAAAAAGTGTTTAATATGTAACAAAGGATTTAGGAAGGAACCAAAATTAAATAATTTCAATACTTAGATTAGGTGATCTAATTCACACAATTGAAATTTAATGTTGTGTTTGGTATAAATGAAAGAAATAAAGGGAGAGGTGTGTAGAAAAGTGAATAGATAAAAAAGTGAAAATAGAAATTGTTTGGTTTAAGACATATAAAGTGATCATGTTTTCATTGAGCATTGCAGTTTGTATTTTTGCAAAGAAGTTTTTAAAATTGAATTTCATACGTTTTTTTTCTTCCGCTAATCATCGGTATTTTTTGTCTATCACAATTATTGTTGTGCAAATTTCTCTTCTCTTTCACGTCACTTCTACTATACCAAAATGGAATATAATATATTAAAATTGCATTGTTACACATAAAGGATTAAAAATATAATTAAATTTAATTCTTAATTAGTAACAAAATACGTATAATATTGCTTAACACTCCTCTTATTAACTATTGAACACATGAATCAGCTAGCATAAAATTATTTGTACTTAATCAATGGCCTAGAAAAAAAAATATTAATTTTTGATAATTTGTAGTGGACAATTTATCAAGTAATGAAGTTAGGCTTGAAAGGATAGACATTGTTACATTCAACTTTTTAAATAAAGTCTTGGAATTCAAGTCTTATAGATAAAACAAAATGTGGTAATAAAAAGAGATCTCATTAAAGTTTCTTATTTAGGTTTGAAGATTAATCATAAATAAAATTATTAAATATTTCATAATGATGTACTTTTTTTCGTTCCTTTTTATTTGCTAGATTTTTGGTAAAGTTTTATTTTTTATTTATTTATCACTTTTAAATTTTAAGACAATATTAATTGTTATATTATTAATTATATTGTTATATTTCACTTAATTTTTAATTAATTTATACATGATAACTAATATGCATTTATTACAACATAAAAATAAAAGAGTGTATAATTAAAAAACATTAAAATTATTTTATAAAAAATAAAAAAAATTATCAGAGGTAGTAGTTATATTTATATAATAATGATAATAATAATAATAATAATAATAATAATAATAATAATAATAATAATAATAATAATAATAATAATAATAATTCAAGATATGCAAGCCCAAAGGAGTTTCAAAAGAAGCTCACGCCAACCAATGTAAGAAATTTTAATGGAACCCATTTTTGGTCAATGAGCGTGAAGCTGGCCACTCATATTTCATCAAATTTTAATAGTTGTCATCCACATATTAACATAAAGACAGTTACCATGAATGTATTTTTTCTTTTAATGCTTAACTTCTCTTTGGTAACCATTGTTGACAGGAGAAAGAAAATCGTAAAACCTGCTGAGCTAAAAAAAAAATATAATAGATAAACGAAACAACCAATTGAGTAATGACACGAAGTTAGAAAAGAATAGCATAATTTTTATATGATTAACAAATAAATGATCCAAAATAAAAGAAAAGGTTGAACAAAAGAATTAAAATCGGATTTAAAAGTCAAAGATGAGAACCTAAGAAGTAATTAGGGTGGTTGGCAGTGTCACAAACACTTCATTTTTTTAAAGTTCCCTATTATATGAAAAGATACGACTATCACTGTATTGATGCTATTTTTGAGGAGTAACCGCTAACGGTGTCACGGGTTTGATAACGGGAAAGCGAGGGTATCCACGCCAAGTCAGACACTGAACATCGCACAATACGAATTACGAACCAATCCAACAGGAAAAGACAACCTTGCCCCAAACAAAACATAAGTGTAAATGTCGTATGCATGCCGTGTCCCAGGCTACCATTTTGGAGGAACCTCTCATTTTGTTTCTCTTCAGTTCATAAACATAAATACACGCTATCAGTTTCTTCCCTTTTCCTTACGAGATCTGAAACCACTCTCATGGACCGTCGTAAAGAGGTTTCTTTCTCTCTCTCTCTCTCTCTCTCTCTCTCTCTCTCTCTCTCTCTTCATAAAAAAGTAGAATGGATTTGCATCGCTCTATTCTTTGCTTCAATGTGAAATTCGCTGAATCATGATTCTGGATATTAAATTGCATGCGCAGAAACAGAGGTGTTAGTGTTAGTGTTAGCGTTAGCTTAGGCCTTAGAGAGATATGATTTGACATTTGAGCAGATTAATTGCTGGTGTAAAGTGTAAACATAGCTTAAAGGACCAAAATCTGAGTACTAGATACAATTCGTTACCTCCTTTTGGGGCTATTCTCTTTATTAAAGGAGTTAACTCTAATTTTAATCAGAGAAGACTATTAAACTGCATCTGCATGTTTTATCCGCCTTCAAAATCCTTATTTTCTTCTTCGTCTCAATTTATTTGCTTAATTTCGGTCATTAAGTAATACTACCTGTTATTGTACATGCATCCGCAGAGATTGTTCTATTTTTTCGGCGAGGAGACACGAGTACCATGACTCGTGCTCTTCCCTTTCCAGCTCAGCTCAGCTCAACCAATCATTTTGTTTTACTTTTAAACCTTCAAAAATCACCTGACCTGAGGTTACTCTTGTTAATTACAAATCTTTCTTCTTATTTTTTTCTTTTTTACTTTTCAATTCATCATTGTTTCATGTAAGCCTTTATAAAAGGGTCAAGATTCTGTTCGATTGTTTTAAACCTTTCAAACCATGATGACAATGCCGTGTTGCGGTAGTACAAGTAATCATAAACTCCTTTCTAAAGCTAAAGAAATAGTCAATTTCATCACCAAGATTCATTCTAAATCTTTCATTTGCATTTTTTTTTCGGTATGCTACATTTTAGTATTATACTTGATATTAAGTTCATTGTTGCAAATTTTTTATTAGTGTGATTAGCTGAGTGAATTGTAAATGTTGTGAACAGAAAAATGGTCCTTGGCTATCAGTGCCACAATTTGGGGACTGGGATCAGAAGGGTCAAGTGCCGGATTACTCACTGGATTTCTCAAAGATAAGGGAAACTAGGAAGCAGAACAAGACAAATATTTCGAGGGCAAGCCTTGGCAATGAAGAAGAGTTCGTGGATTCAACCTCCAGCAGTGCCAACACTGGCCACAGCAGTGACCACCCCCAACCTCACTACCACCATCAAAACGACTCTCCAACTGTAAGTTTCTTGCTAAGCTTCGATTTTCCTTAATTTGTTTTATTCTTGTTTTTGGAATCTCTTCAACACCATTATCGCTTAGAGCTTATACGTACAAAATAGTAAGAGTTTAATGATAGTTATTTTAAAAGTTAAAAAACTTATCAATTATCATACACATGATTGGATGACAATCGTCTCAAAGCATAATCTATTTTCTCATATGAATAATCTGTTTTCTCAAATAGTAATTGCTTAAGTAGTGAGCAAATTACCATCAGTGTGATTTATAAAAATATTTCAGAATATTTCTAATGGAAATGGCAGATAGGGGGGGATGTTGGATGCTTGAAAATACATGTGGTATAAAATCGAAATATGGTATGTGACAAAAACATTCTTATCAAACTAATTAGATGTCTGGCTGTGAGTTTTTAAATGAATGTGTTTATGTCTCTGCTATGTCCTAGCAAGAAAAAGGCACATGTGTTGTGTGAGACTCGTCACAATACCAAAATGATGATGTATCTTAGCTTTTATAGAATGACACTAAATTAAAATTAAGAAAATATGCTTTTTGCAATTAAATTGAAAACAAGTAGTCACCAAAACAGAATATAAATTATATTTCTATAAAAAAAGTTGTATAATTTTTATACCAAAAAGAAAGTCAAGAAAAATATATGTGGTCTCTAAAAAATCAAGAAAAGAAGAGAGAGAAGTATCACATAAGAAAATAAATATGATAGAGAAGTTAATGAGAAAAAATGTCATCATAAAAAAATATAATATTAGTCTTATAATCTAATTTTATATGTCATTAGGCTTGATCAAAAATCAAATTCTTAGATAATAGTATTTATTATAAATTCCTTTTTAATAATTTCCTCCTATATATTTCCTGATCTACTTCTACTTTTCATATGATTAAAAACTATTCAATCTTTCAATAACCTTCTTAACACATGTCTAAACTTCATTAACTAATTCATGAATGAATTCTGTATTATAAAAAGTTGTTTTAAAAATAATATAACCCCTGAAATAATTAGAGAGTGTGTTAGTGTCTCATTTTCTTTTTTGAATGTTGATGACTATATATTAGAGTAATATTATTCTTACTCATTTTTCCTACATCACTATATAACTTTTTTTTTTTTGCCTTTATCACATTGCTCTTCTTGTTCTACACTCTTTTCTTTTTCCTTTTCTCTTACCTAGTTGTAAAATGTGCATTATAACTTATAAGGTTGTCTTATGAGCTAGATTTGCTACTAAGTAGGTCCAGTTGATATGCATTACAACTGTAGGATGAGGTCTTTTCTCTCTCTGACTTTTTCTTCTTCTCTCTCCTCTCCCTGACCTTGAGCATTTTTGCAAAGTGCAAACATTTTCAAACTTGTCTGTCTCCACATAGAAAAGGCACTGATTAATGATAAATTCATATTTTGGATTTAAAATACTCGAGTAGACACTTGACATCGAAGGTTTCTTGCCGAAAAATCCGTTACTCTTCAAGAAATATCATGTATATTTTTTTTTCCTCTTCAAGTTTAGTTTCATATAAAAAATATTTTTTAAGTTATAAAACTTTTAAAAAAATATTATACAAGTATTAATATAAAATATATTTTTTAAAAAGGTCTAAAGTGATGATTTTGTTGGTTTCACCCTTAGATCCACCCTACTTTGAGAGTCTGGAAAAGAAAATGAAGTAAACCAAAATAGTATAGGGTTATATGCTGAACGATTAAATAACATAAATATGTTGTTTTCTGTTGTTCCCGTAGTTGTACCACAAATGGGAAGAAGGTAATTAAGAATAATATAGTGGAAAAATATACAAATATTCTCCATCCAAAGAAATGAGAGTATACACCAACTCATGCATTACAGAGAATATTATGGTGGGGTGGGACCCAGATTAACTGGATCGATAGAGATACAAGGAGAAGGATGTAAATTGTTGTTTATCCTGTAGATACCTAGACAACACGCAATTCTAGTTGATGCACATGTGCTGGATGTTTTGGGGCTATTACATTCTATTCAATATTATAAAATATAGGTTGATCGTATATTGTGTGGAAACAAGGAGAGGGCTTAAATATATGGATGAACTTCATCAACACAACATTTTAATTCTAAAATCTTAATACATTGTTGAAGATACTTAACTATGTCCAATGTAAGACTCTCATCTCTAATTGCACATCAAGATATCTTTTGGGATAAAGAACCATTTGGTTGTTATAAGCAGCCTATTAGAAACTACCCAATAAAATGTATCAAACAAAAAAAAAAAGCAACCTTATAAAAGTTTGTTTGGTGGAAGTTTTAAATAGAACTTTACTGCATATATCAGATTGATTCTCTAGATCCGCAATAGATTGGACTTGTGTACATTTGTGGTTTTTGAAATATTGCTTAATTATGTCGTATATACGTATGGCACACATCTTTTACATCATTATTTATTTTCCCTGACAGGCAAGGAAGAGCTTCCTCAGCTACTTTAATTGTTGTGTGAAAGCCTAATATTTAAGGGCAAGTGCAATCTTTCTCTTGTTTTCTGAAGATTCTAGATAGCAACAGCTATGCTTCTCTGTTCATTTGGTGATAAAATTAAATACTTATTAGTTATTGATCTTGATTTAAAAGCAAATCTTCCTTAATTTGATGATGATGCTCTTTCTGTTACTTTTTATGGTGTAGCTCAAAATTTGGTTAATCCAAGTAGAGGTAAAGATGGTAAACATTTAAACGCAGCTCATGATCCAAAACATGTCTAAGCTGGCTCCAAAACATTTTCCATTTACTCGTTATGCAGCTAAATAAATATAAATATAAATATAAATTAAATAAATAATTCTTCGCCGGTGGTGGTTTCGTTACAAATGAATGCACCACTAAATACATTTACCACTCGAGAATTATTGCTAAATTAAATTACGTCTGACACTTTGAAAATCATTATTTTTTAATTATTGAGGAAGTGTGGAATAAATAGCTCAATGTTAAAGAATACATTAAAAAAAGTATTCGAAAAATGTAGCGGTTGTATTTAAATTATTTTCTTGTACAATTTCTCGCGTCTAGTTTATTGGAAGAGTAATCACCAAAAGATGAAGTGTATTTTAGAGTTATCCATTCTCAATTTTGGTTTTATTTTTCTGTGTTTTCTTGTATACCAAACCTATAATTTGGTGACTTAGGTTTGATCTTACCCGAAAATAAAAAGAACTATAAAAGGTTTTGGTCGTATTACATAAAATAAGTATTTTTCAGTGGTAATGCGTTAAATGCAGTTCTTGCCAGCTATAATGTTCCATTTTGGTGAAGGCAGCCAAAAGAATATTGAGTTGGAGGCATTTCAACTTCAACCCAATTTGCAAGAGTGCTTTAATTCCCATGATTGCTTTAGGCCACTGTCCATTATATAAAATAGGAGTAGGACAACCAACATATATCCAACCGAATTTTCCTCTTCAAGTAATCTCATTAATAAGGGGAAAAAAATCTTTTAAACAACTAGTTTTTAAAAATGATTATAGTTTCTTTTAGTACAACTTCCTTTGATTTTGCTCCATTTAATCTTTGTTTTACTTTTGATCTCATAAATAACAAATATTTAAAATGGTTCATGCCACCCTATAGTCACCATGCATCAATTAATCCCATGTGAATCATTTTGTGTGTGTTTGGTGTTGCGTTTTAAGAATTGATTTATCAAAATCAATTTTCAAAACGTAGAAGCTATTTTTATTAGCTTCAGGCAAAATTGATTTTCACACTTAAAATTGTGTAAAGAAGAGAAAACCAAACATCTATTCAAAGAGAGGAATCACGTTTTTTCATCCAAATACGTGCGTTAGCTTGCTCTAACGCAAATCCAAACACGCTGTTTGTTGTGGTACATGATGTAATATGATTGATGGATATGTTAAAGTGAGTTGATCTTTCTTTCCTAACTTTTGGTGAGTTAAAAAATAATTAGACTTGGTAAAGGGTAAGTTTGATTTCATGAATCAATTTCATTATATCTAAAATGATAAGAATGATATTTGTTGCATATTTGGTTATTAATAAAATTGATTTTAAGATGCTCAAATTTGCATTTACTTAAAATTAATTAATAGTAATTTCTTTGCCATACAAAATTTTGGAGTTTTATTTGTCCAACATTATAATTATACACTCAATCAATTGTTTTTTATAAGTGGAAAAATTGAAAGAAAGAAAAAAAGAAAGAAAGACAAGACAAGACAAGATAAACAACTAATTACCCTTGAAAAAGGACTCAAAGTCAATTTTGATAATAAATTTTTAAACAATATTCGATATAAAAATTTAGTTTATGTCATTTATCATTTACACAAAAATTACATTACTTATAATTTATTTAAAATCAATTCTGTAAATTAGCATTGATTTTAAATCAATTATATAAATACATATCTAAACAATACAAAGTAGATTGACTTGCCTTTTTTTAAAAAATAATAACAATCAGTTATTGTTTTTTTCTATTTCTTTTTTAAATTACTTAATCAAGCATTCTCACAATCAAAATGCTTACCGATTATATTAATTGATGTACAAATCGGGTCCAAATATAGGTTAGATTTAAAAATTGATATTACCAATCAATTTAAAAATATTTAACTTACTACTTTGTTCTAATTAATTAAAAACAAGACGAGAGAAGTGAGTAAAAGGAGGTAAATTAACATGATCAAATATAATTTAACAAAAAATTGAACCTCTGAAACATATATAGATACTAAACATTATTAATTAGAACAACTGCCTTATTACTTATTACTTTTTGCATTTTATGCATCGAAAAGCATAAAAATCTTTAACCAAAAATACTCCAAGTTGTAGCATTAGTATTTAGTTAAATTCTTTTGTTAGCCCTACAAGCTGTCTTCATGGATTGTTAGTCTTAGACATCGCAGAGGAAGTACCATAGTTTTAAAAACTGGACCAATCATTGAATTGGTTAAGGTACTGGATCAGTGGATCAAAGGTTGAACCGGTGGGTCACTAGTTGAACTGCATGACTCGATTTTTATTTATTTTTATTAAAAAATATTCATATTAATATATTTTATACTTATAAATTTTAATAAATTCATATTTTATTTTAAATTTTAAATTTTCTATCTTATTTAAAATTATTTTTATTTTTATTTTGTAAAAAAATATATAAAAAATTACATGTTAAACTGTCTATTAATACAAATTAAAAATATAAATAATATGTACATATATAATATACTTGCAATTGATATCACAAAATAATATATGTAATATTTACATAGATATTATATTATTAAATATATAATTTAATATTAATAATATACTATAAAAGTTATTTAAGTTATATATATTATAAATAAATACATTAGAACAAATAGTCATTGTTATATTTAATAAGAATCTTTGTTCTTTCATTAAGAGATTTAATTTTCATTATTATTTTTGTGGTTTATGGTCTCTTAAAAAAATTTATAAAAAAAAAAAAGTGATTGAACCGGTTTGACCCACCGGTTCACTGGTTGAACCAGAAAATTGACCGGTTCAATCCGGTTTGAAACGGGTCGACTGCATAACCGATCCAACTTAAGATTCGGACTGGCTGGACCACCGGTTCCCGGTCCAATCAGTCTGACCGGCCGGTTCGATCTGGATTTTTAAACACTGGGAAGTACTATTCACGTCTATGGAGGATGTGTTAAATTATCTAAAATTTTAAAACATTTTTTTTATTGAGAGTGAAATACAAAGAAAAGAAATAGGTAGTATAAAACATAAGAGAAATATAGTAAAAAAAATGTGTGGTTTAAATGGGTACAAAATTATTTTTAAAAAATATAATAATTAAAACAATAAAGAAAACAATAAACCACACAAATTATTTTGCTTAACAAATTGTTTTAGGAGGAAAGTGATTCCAAATACGTCTTACGAATATAATTATTGACCGAATAGAGAGACTTTCCACATGCAATTATGGAACAAGCAGCTTGGAGATCATATAGAGGCTTGCTTGAACAATATGTCAAATGTTCCTAAGCAAGGCGAGAACGTGAACAAGAACAGAATGGGTTGTTTTATTTCCAAATTGATATTAAAATTATATTTTTCTATTTCTCTAACAACAAATACTTATAATCTTAATTTATTTCTCGCCTACTTCCCTTGACTTGTTTCTCTCTTCTCTACTTCTCACTTATTTCTTCCATCCCTACCAATCGAACCATAAATGTTACTACAATGACAGATGGTATAAGTAATAAAAATATGATCCTTTAGAATAATTTGCTAATGATCTTTGAAAAATTAATGTGACGATGATTGTAGTCTTCAAAAGACTAGAGTATTAACCCATGTAATTTCAGAAAAAAATAAGTTATCTTATAAACAATTATGATTTACTTAAATGTACTTGGTGTAATTCACACCACCACCTGACATGGGTGAATATGTACCAAGGTATATTCGGAATCCATGCCCTTTTCACTACTAACATGGGTTCTTTGTTATAGTTCTATCTACCAACCTTGCCACATGTATATATGTTTCCATTGTAATTCATTTGCCATGCTAATATCAAAGGCCACCCACATTCCCACACAATATCTAAAATACATACAATCAACAACGTTAAAAAGAGCAAAATTGCAGGAAGGAATATAATCATCACAATCCGTTGCCTAACAAAATTTTAGGTTTTTCCTTTGTTGTTAACAATAAATTTATAAGAGTGCAACTACTAGGACCAATTTCAAAAGAAAAATCAGGATATGAAAAACAAAAGTAATATCCTTCTTTCCTCTAGAAGACTAGTTCATGAGGTTTCACACCATCCTTTAGAGAAAACCTAGCACCGAGATAAACCTTCAAGTCTGGAACACTCTCAATGGCTTTAATCAATGTAGAGTCCACAGTTTTCTGATCATCTTTCTTCTGCTGGGGCAATACACTCTTTTCCTGCATTACGAAAAAAAAAAGCAGAGATCAAAATGCAGAAGAAGGTGAAAATTAAAATAACACCAACAAAACACTAAAATTGACAATTGTACCTCCTTATCTGCCTCAAAGAACTCGCCTTCTCCCTTCTTTTTTTTCTTTTGGGCTTCCTTAGTAAAGTATTTGTCATCAAAGTTGTCAACATTAACAGCAGAAACATCTACTTTGGTTGATGTGGCAATAACATAGGACTGATTCACACGTCTCAAAGGAACTCCATTAATCTTGAAAGGACCTAAAATGGCAAGTGAGAACATAAGTCAGACTGGACATGGGTGGAGAAAAGAGTAGCGATATTCAAATTTGTGATCAATAGGTACTGAAAAAACAAAGTCATTGTACACACCAGAACACACCCATCAACATAATCATAATATCATTGGCACCAGCAAGTAGTAACAGAAGTAAACACCTCAAGCAATAAGGAAGAGGTAACCTTTACAAACCAATTACTCGTGTCAAGGAGCACACGAACAAACTGCTTAGCATGCTAAATCTTAGCAATAGAAGTAACGTGTTAAATAGCAAAACTCACCAGTCACAAGAAGCAAGCCAGAAGGAAGCTGCTTCAAAAACACTACCCTCTTTCCTTTAAATCTACCAGCAAGAAGAATCAACACTGTCCCCGGTGTAATGCTAGCCCTGAAACACACCCAACAAAA